TGAACCCTAAACCCTGAACCCTGAACCCTGAACCCTAAACCCTAAACCCTGAACCCTAAACCTGAAACCCTAAACCCTAAACCTGAACCCTGAACCCTAAACCCTGAACCCTAAACCTAAACCTAAACCCTGAACCCATGAACCCTAAACCCTGAACCCTGGAACCCTAAACCCTGAACCCTAAACCTAACCCTAAACCTGAACCCTAAACCTAAAACCTGAACCCTGAACCCTGAACCCTGAACCCTAAACCCTGAACCCTGAACCCTGAACCCTAAACCCTGAACCCTAAACCCTGAACCCTAAATCCTAACTACCCTAACTTGCTCATATTTCAGGTAAATTTATCATCATTTATGTTGGTGTTTCTCCATTCCGTATTAATCTTTAATGTCTTTTCGTTATTACTTTTATCATACTATCAAATATCATTACTTTCCTGACAAATACGGCTATTCATAAATTACTTTAACGAATTCTATATTATTCCGTCTTCATTAGTACACACCATTCAGAAATTACTTCTCCCACTAGAATTCTTCCTTCCTCTCTTATAAAATAAATCTCATCGTAACTAAATAATACATGTGTTACTTAAAATAGAATATACTAATTTTATAAAATTCGTAAAGCCTTGAAATAAAATTAAGCAATAAATTTATTCAATAGAATTAAAGGAAAATTCCTATATAACTAATATCTTCACTTCTTGTTGGGATATTTTTGAAATCTTCAGCATATACAACATAAAATGAAACAACAGAAGCATGTATTTTTGTGAATACTTTATGTGTTTTATTTTTGTTGCGTCATGAGAATACTACAAAGAAATATTCATTCAAAAATTAAATCCATATTCCTACACATCCATATTGCCGAGGACTTCAATTTTTTCACAACATTCTTTCATGATGAAAATTTCACAAATACCAAATTAATCTTATTGTGTCTGCTACTTAAATATTTGCTGGAACCCTAAATGTTGAAACAGAAATGTAATTTTAAGCGTAATCTTAAATCGTCAAAATTATTTCAATAAAGATATTTTTGTGCAAAAGGTTGAACTTAACACTAATAAATGAATACGTCAAGTACTTAATTCCAAAATGTAGTCAATTATATCTCATTCATGTTGTTCCTTCCCTCTTTTTCGTTCATCTTCTTTATCCTTTTCTCATCTACTATTTTTTAAAAGAAATATAATTTCATTTTTTCAATAAAAACGGAAGCGCGTCGAATATCTACGCATATTTTACGTCACAAGATAATATATTTCATAGAAAGATATAAAAATATGTTCATACAAAATGAATGGAGAATTATGAACAAAATATTTCTCATTCATGTAGCTCATGAATACTTCAAGAGGTCCCCCTATTATAAAATTATCATATTATTTGTATCATATATTCTGTCCTTATCTTGTTTGATTAAATCTTTTACGATCATTTTGTATGTAGATGTCTATATAAAAAAATATGTAAGGTTATTCATCTTATTACCTTTTAATTTATACTTCCGTCTTATTCTATATTTTTATTAATTGTATAATAATTTATTCCTTTCAATTTTACATATTTTTTACTATCCTGCAGTGAAAATTAATAAATAATTAATTTATTCTTTACTTATCGGGATTCCTTCCTTAGTTCTACCAATATGTTTATGGAAGGAATATCATTTGATTTGTAAAAATAAAAAAATTCCTTTTATCTTCCTTTAAATAATGAAAACAATTGAAACATCCTAAGGAATATAATTATATTATCTAATAAAACAATATTTTTTTTTAATTTAAAAGTAAAAAAATAATAACGAGCATTATTATATAAGAAGAGTCAAACTAGAAGTATAGTTCTGTGTGTAAACGTAACCTTACCTATTTTATCTGCTCCTTCTTTATTCTATGCGTCAACACTAAGATACAAACAATATACAAAAAGTTCTATCAATACATATATATTCATAAATTTCGTTAGTGAACTTTTATCCTTTAATTCTATTGAACAACAATAATGAATAGATTTTCCCCTTTTCTCTTTTACAGAACGACTTAGAATTTGAAGATGTTACTGATGAGGTTGTAGAGGTGCTGGATTCTTCTGGCGACCATGTAAATTCAGAAGAGAAAATTCTCCATGACAAAACAGCTTATGATAAAACTCTCTTCGATGCTACCCTCTCCAGGATGATTTTGCCTTAACAGATTTGGCAAAGGAACATCATAAGGAATTCCACCGAACCTTAAATTATGCTGAATCATTAGAAAAGGTTCTCAATGAAGACATGGAAACAGAAGATGGAGGAAGTGTGTATGTAGACACAGAAGATAGTTGAGAGGATGCCGCACGAAAAGTATATGTTTCTACTCAAACAAATTTACAACGTGCTAATTGAGTCGACTCACTCCCTCGCGGTATCTCTGATAAAGATATAGGATTCGATCATATTGGAACATACCAATCACTTTCTTACTGAAGTCTGAAGGATACTGTTAAACATATAACGGAACAGGAATTGGCAATGAGACATGTACAAGGACAAGTGGTCGTAAACCTCCCCCAGAAAATTGCAGCAGATGAATTAGATAGGACTCCAGAGGATAACTTCCAACCAGAAGAACCATCCGGAGAAGCAGAGAAGGAAGGAGAAGCATTAATAGGTGTCCCAGTGAATAAGAAGGCTGATTTGACAATTCCAGGTCCTATGAGGTAGGACGCAGGATTTGAACTCATAGTAGATGGAGATATGGCACATCAGGCCATTAAGAGATATAAAAATGTAATAAAACAACTCCTCCAGGATCCAAAAGAAAGGAGATTACTAGAGCAGCTCAAACAGCAACTACAGCCACTGAAGCGTATAGAAATACCACAAGAAGATGCACCAGAAGAAATAGAGCAGGTATTCAAAGAAGTAGAAGTACAACAGATATCAGCAACAGCAGGAGAAGACGTGCCAGTGATAGTAGAAGAGAACTAAAAGCCAATAGAGGAAGATAAAGCATTACAGTTAAAAATACCATAAGAAGGATATATACAATTACAAACACAGAAGAGAAACGAATTAGCCACTGCAATTACTGCTATCCTGGACATACGTTACCATGACGTCTCGAATGAATATATAGGAGAAGAAACTGCCGTATATCCGTCGGGACTCCAAGATTATTTAAAGGAAGATTGACAATCAACATAATGCATCATCAGGATTCAATCCTTATACGATGATTGGGAATCATTAGGATTCAACTTAAATAAAGCCAGATGAGGATACATACAACAAAAGAATAAAGAATAGTTCAGTCGCATGTTCCTCACTAGAGATAAGTGGTCACAATATAGTCAAGTTTCAGGGGAAGGAAACGACCCCGGAGGTTTCGCACAATGAGATTGCAGCGTGTACAAATGCAAAAGATGATTTCGAGCAAAAGTGAAATCCCAAATTGATTAACAATGGAAGAAATGGATGAGTGACACACATTCCAATTCGTTCCAAATTCTGGAGAAACATAGGATACAATCTGAAAAGAAGGAAACCAAAGAATCATTAATGTATTACAGGGAAAACTACGAACAGGATTCTCCTTCTTAATCTTCTGAAATTAGGACAATAGGGAAATTTCTAAATAAGGCTAAGTGTCCACAATGCTACTGTGTCAATCCTAATATAGATAAACGGAGAAGATAACTTATGAAATGGTTCCTCCTTCAAGAAAACGAATATTTTTAGAAAGAGAATCAAAAAAATGGACTAACTCGAAAAAAATTAAATTCTTTGTGATCAATTTAATATGTACAATACTTTCCGGAAAGCGCCTAACCATGGAACAATGGAATCAATCCCTTAAAGAAATGAAAGTTGGCATTATAGAAAAAAGAAGAAATTATTCTCTTATAGAATAAATAATTATTGAGTTGAATTAATATGAAAATTGTTCAAATTTTGGACTCTTCTAATTATTCATAGATAAAGGAACTCATAATAAGAGCATGCATCATAATACCTATGATGGTTCTTCTTGAATGAAAAGAGTATCACGATTCGTAACAAATGCAGCCGCATTTGGACGACTATATCGCAGACACACAAGATACGTATAAATGTTCCAAGACATAGTCCATAGGGAAATAATTTTTTCTGTATATCCAAGACATAAAAGAATATGATAACTACAGAGCCTAAATGCCAAATTCTTCTATACAGGAGCCCATAAACACTTCATAGCACAAAAATGACGAGTGCGATGATAATGGCGTAATTCTAGATTATCTTATGCATAAGAATAATTTGGATAGATACAGGTTTTACTCGAATGTGATTTCTAGAAATCCGTTACAAGTCTGCCATGAGATAGATTTCATAATTTTGGAATGAACAAACTCTGCGCGGAATTACCCCTTTGGCAATGAAGAGGACACATGGTTCTTGAGTTAACAGAACCATGTAAGTGAATTTTTTAGCTATATAAAAGGACAACCAAAATAACTTCAGATCAACAGTACAATTGAAAGAACACATCAAGTGCAACTCATATATTTTGATCAGGAACAATATTGTGTGTTGCTGGAGTCCTGCGAATAGAGTTTAAACCAATGGTTTTTATCGATCGTGCATCTTCACATATTCGGCTAAAATAAACCTACATATATGAACAAACGCGCATGTACTTTTACTGTTGTTATTCAAAAAACCGCAGCATTTTTCTTGGCATAGATTGTTTCTTAGCATGTTGTATGATTCCATATTTCCATGGAACCTGTTCAAAAAATATCTTACTATAGTATTATTTTTTACATGCATAAAGCGACTCATTTGGCTTCGTTAGGGGCAAATGCACAACTCTTCCTTGAATTAGTCCAAATAATGTGAAAAAAATGTACATCCATGTGGCCCCGAAATGTATAAGATTAATGTTGTTTTAATAATTGCTCTAAAATTAGGCAAAATTTTTTTTTTCCTTTTTTTCTTGAAAAGATTAATTCAAATGAATGAACTTAATATAATGGAACAAAAATATAAAATAATAAAAAAAACTCAATAGTGCAACTCTCCCCATTTGATTATCTTGATAAATTGGGATTTCATATGCGAAAAAAATTATTAGCATGTCTCTTCTTATCTTGGAAATATTCTGCCTGTTCTTGTTTGTGCATGTAGCTTCTTCTTTTCGGACCCAAAAAGATTCTAACAGCAAAAAAATGGTGGGAAAATAAATTGTGACCGTGAAAAGAAGCATGACTGTACTTTTTCTCTTAAAGAGACCTAATGGACGAGGGATTTTTTCTAGCCTCGAAAAAATCTCACGAAAAAATATACTCTAAAATAGGGTGGAAATTCGCATCATATTTAATAATTCAAAAATGGGCACCCATAGCGCTATAAAATCTATTTCATGCATCTATATGTTACCAACTATTTTTTTAATGTTTTCCTCCTTGTAGAGAAGAAGAATAAAAGAGTAGAAAATGATAAACCAAAAAAAAGTAACGTACTCTTTAAAGCACAAAAAAACCCGTTATTCTTTTTTTTCTTTTTTTTACGGCATATTCGTTGTACTACGAATTTCTTTAAACCATTTTTCTATATTTTTTAACGCGGTAGAATAACATTTAAAAAAAATAATTCTATTCAGAATTATTTTTTTCTTATTTTGTACAAAATATATTATTTTATATTTTTTTGCTTTTGATTTAATTAAAATATCCTTTTTAGCAAGTATAGGAGAATTGTATTATCTTCAAAATTAACAAATTTTACGGTTGAGAATTACAAAAAAACAATAAATCACTAGAATTCAAGAATTTTTCATACATCTCTTTAACTTTATTTAAAAATATATTTGTAATAAATTGTTACAGAAGAAAGATCAATAGATTTTGCCTGTATGAAAATAGACTGAACCAAACAATTTTGCATAGATATATTAATAAATCGCCTAACTTGCCTCGAAGAAAATAAATCCTACTTTTTCGAGATAACGTAAAATATATCTTGTCTTCGTGAAGAAATATATAAGAAGACTTCAAGCGCAAATATATTATTTACATTGTTTCAGATAGATTTAAAAAAAAAGAAAAAAAAAAAATAATTCATTCAGCAGAATAAATTTTAGTTCCATAAAATTATTGTATAAAAGAATTTGCCTATTCTTTTCTTCTGCACGAAGAAAAACTTTGTATAGGAAAAAAATTATATATATAAGAAAAATTAGCTCCCTTTTTTTCAATACGCTCAATTTTGTCAATTCTTACCCTTTTACATTGAATAAAATTTTCAGTTTGTGCTTCTTGTCCCTTCTTATATAACCTCCGCAGAAGGTAAAGAAAAGAACAAAAAAAAAAACACCTTTTTCTTTTTCTTCTCTTTACTCATTTTGTGTTTCAAATGTCTACCGTAAAATTAGGATTCTTTCCTAATAATTCTTCGATATTCCGTAAGCATGTTATTTAAACCCCACTGTCTTTTCTATTCTCGCAGGAGAGTTATATTTTCAATAAGAATGGGAAGTTTTTAGAAAAAGAAAAAAACAACGGATCCTCAAAGTAATACATTTACAATACTAAAAATATCAAATTGACGAATAAAACCCTTTTTGGTATAAGAAGCGTTTTTTTCCCTTTCCTTCTTTATTGACATAGAAAAAAACACTAAAGAAGCTAAAAAGGATACACTTCATTCGCGATTGACAGAACTGGACCTTGCCGCAACATCGACCAGCCCATAGCAAGCATTATACATACATTTATATACACACACAGTTGTCACCGAAGATGAAGCAAATATCTGCCTTTTCTTGTTTGTGTACCCTCCTTTACATTTTCTCGTCCTCTTCGGTGTTCAACGGAGTTGCAGCTGTAAGATATGAGGCCGATTAAGCGCCATGGAATAGGAAACTGTGTATGTGCGTATATATGTTTTTACCTACCCTCCTATACGTACTCATAAAATTTTGGCCTTTTCCAAGGCAGGTCAAATTTAAATCTCTAACATTTATATTTCCCTTTCCTTTGCCTTCTTGAATTTTCCCTTCTAGACCGCTAAAGAGGAATGCCCTCCACTTGAAAACATCCCAGGAGCTGGCACTGTTGCTATTAGATCCTTCAGCAACCAATTAAGTCAATATGAAAACAGAGATTCGGATGGAGGCCACGTAAAAAAATGGATAAGAGAATTAAACCAAGAGTTCAAGAAGTTTAAAGATATGAAATTTAAAGAAATCGAAAAAATAGAAAAACAAAAGGAGGAAGCATGGGATCATTGGCTCACCATGATGGAACCAGAATGGATTAATTTTAGCAATTTCATGGAAGAAAAGAAAAACAGATGGATGCAGAAGAAGGAAGAAGAGTGGAGTCTATGGATCAAAGATATGGAACACAAATGGATTAATTATAAAAAAAGAAAGGACAAAAAATACCTAACCAAATATACAGACGGTACCTTAGACTGCACTGAGCGCGAATGGAACTTCATGATGAAAAGAGAAGTGGAAGAATGTATGATCAATGATTATAAAAAATGGATGAAGGATGCTGAGGATAATTTACATAAATGGATATCTAAAGATCTCGATATATGGAAGAAAAAAAAATTCGATGAATGGTTAAAAGTTGAATGGAAAAAAGAAGAAGATGCTTACTGGGCAAAGGAGGGCACTTCACCTTATGGAGAATCCGGTAATCCATTATTCCCATTAATTAAGAAATGCTTCGATATGTACAATGCTAGAAAAAAGAGAGAAAAGGAACACTGGAACAAGCTAACCGAGAATGTTGGAAAAACTATTACCAATAAAAAGTACATTGACTGGGAAAACATGAAAAGCACCAAAAGCGCTTGGTATAACGAGTGGATGGACATCTTCCTCCAACAGTGCTTAACTTCCAAACTTAAAAAACATCGACCCCGTCTCCTGTAAGCTGGTCGTTTTTCAGTAGCTGTGTCTAATGTTAAGATTCCTCTCCAGTTAGTGCTTTTTCTAGTTCATGATGAACCCGTTGCTAGAACTTTATGCGTACGTATATACGCGTTTGTGCATATATATTTGTATATATTATACATAATACACATAATATACATAATATATATAATAAGTATTCCATTCTGTTTGACGGGAAAACCTTGCGTCCCCCCTTCGCACTCACCAATCGATACTCAAAGAAGGAGAAATAAATGCACCACAAAAAGAGTTACAACGATAAGACCAGCAAAAGGGGCCAATAAATTGATAAAATAAAGCGAAACGTAAAATCACTGTGGCAGAACTATGTACACGTATACAAGACCCTTTCCAATAGATATGGTAATTTTTCTAAAAATAAAGTACTGGATGGAAAAAAAAAAAAAAAAAAAACACACAAACGGAGAAGCACAGAAACACAGAAATACAGAAACAAGTACGCCAATAATTTAAATAGATTAAGTATAATTTGGTGAGATATATAAATTCCTAAACAAGAATGCTAGAACTGTATCCAAAACAACACTTGTTTCATTTTCTCTTCCGTGTACCTTGACTACATTTGTGTATATGTCGCGAATTCCTTTTTATCTTACACGTCCTACTTTATGTACATATATAAATATTTCTTTCTACTTGCCCCCCTTTTCAAAACGCTGTCCTCTTTTTCTACATAAAAAAATATATATATTAATCGGCGTTCATAAATTGTTAATCCTTGGATAACCAGACATATATATGTGACCTGTTTACGAGGAAAAACACCACTTCTGTTTAGAAACCCCTGGTTTACATGCCTTTTTAAGCTTTCATATTTCGTACCTTTCCATATATATGTATCCTTATTTGTATATATGTATTGTACCCCTATCTGTATATATCCATGTGCATATGTATATATTTAGTTATTCAATTACTCTAGGAGGCTACGATATATTTCTTAAACGACGTCATAGAAATGCTTCTTAACTATTATTGATTTATCACTTGTGACTTGAACCTTCTTTCATGAATCGTGACACGATTTTTTCGTTAACTATTAAAAAACAGGAGAGATAATTAATGAAAGTGACTATTAAATCTTTGTAGAATTATTTTCATTATGGTTAATATGCAGAAGGAAAAAGAAAAAGGGAGTACCGAGGAAACCGGTGCTACCTTCCTTAGCTTCATAGTACGTAATGGCACAGTCTTCCCTCATCAGCAAATTATGCGAATCAGTAGCAGCCCATAACAAGAACCCAGTGTCGGGATTATGTTGCAATCGAAACCACAAAGCACAAAGAACAAACCGCAAATCACAAACCGCAAACCACAAACCGCAAAACACAAACCGCAAACCACAAACCGCAAACCACAAACCGCAAACCACAAACCGCAAACTCCCTTCCCGTTTTTTGAGACCTACTGCTGGCGCATACTCATAAAGAAGAGCTACTATCAAAAGATCCCCTTTCCTAATCTTCCTTAAATAGTACGTTTAGAACTACTTATTTGTCTCTTTCTTATCTACATTTTTATTATCACCCATGTTGTAATAGGATGCACCCCTCGGGTTAAACATCCATGAATGTTGTCTCCCTGGCTCTATAGCGTCATTTCTCCAGGGGGGTTCGCGTTCAGAAGGTTTTACAGATAATCACGTAAGGCACATATTACCATCGGTGCAATTACTCACTAATCTGATTCATCTCTTCCTCCTGTAAGTGTCCTTTGTAAACTTCTCCTCCCTCTTTATCATTATCGTGACTGCCATCCCCGGGGGGATATTCTACTCATCTGTTCACCAGCATACTGCTTGTTCCCCAATCCGACTATCTAGCCCTATCGGCACCAGCCGGAGACACTTTGCAATCAATGTGTTATCGCAACTGCCATTCCCTGTTCTATATTAAAGAGTAACTGAATTGAGAGCATTGGTGACGGGGTACTACATACGTTGGGAGTACAGGGGGGGAAGATGTTATGGGGCACCCCCTTTTGGAAAAAAAGAGAAAACGAACACGATTGAATGTGGTGAAAAAGCAGTAAAGAGCCACTAAACCTCTTTTTTGGCGCGGCCAATGTAATAAAGATAAACTCATACCCAAGCAAATCCAAACACCGCAGTTTTTTAATGCGATTCTCACTTAGAGTAGAAAAAATATAACTCCGTTTTGCACAAGTAAGCACTAAAAACAGAATTCTTTCGTCTTTATCCACCTCTGAGTAAAATTCAAATACATCTGTTTTTTCTTTTAAGTGCTGTGTGAAAATTCCATGACACGAACTTCTTCCCGCCACAAAAAGATACATCGCACAAAAACGTCGCATTGTATTTTTGAATTTTTAATGGAAATAATCCTTATTGAATAATACGAGCAGTTTTTAATATATTTGAACCGCTCTTATTCACTGGGGAGGAAAATAAAGAAAAGTGAGGGTTGTCCCTCTACACATAAATATCTCACGTAATGGCGAACAGAGCATTCTTAAACAAACATAGTTTGTCTCACTTGGTAATCCTGTATTGTAACTCATTCACGCATATCTAATGCTTAGGCGAAGCACGCATAATTTCTGTTGCAAATGGGTATTGTATCAAATTAGCCCACATAATAAAACTACCCCAATTACTAATTCGAAGTGATGAAAAAATCGTTTAGTTGCTCCTCAAGTCCAGCTCCTTATTTTTCTCATAAAACAATATTATAATATTTAATCTTTTTCCAAGTTGACGCATTTTTTGTAACACGACATGCATCGAACTTTGCACAATATTGATAGATCATTTTGTCTGTTTTCTCTTCCCATGTTGAATCGATAGTAATTATAGTGTACCTTCCGTTCATTTTTTCTTTTTTTCACTTACATGGCATCGTAAAGGCAGGAATGGAAACGAGTAAACTCTATTTTCTCTCTTAACTCTTTAGGGTTAAGTCGAATGCTTTGTTCTCACAGTGAGTAGTATGTATGTATATACATTCTACATCCTTAGGTGCCACATTTCACGTGCGAAGCTTCGGTTTATATAAACTTATATATTACTCTCGGCTGGGGGTTATCTTGCGCTACACGGTACCGTCGTTCTCTTTAAAGGGATCAGTGAAAATATTACTTTGACGAAGGGGCTCAAATATGTTACTTAATTGCGCAGTTAAATACATGTATAGTAGCGTACATTTTAACGCCAAGCGGGAAAACTCACGCTAATCATTTTCCTTATTAGCTATGTCTATTTATTTGGGTACAAAATAATACATATATATTTTCCCTTTTTTTTTCGGCGTGTCTCTTTTCTGTTTATTGTTGAATGTTATTACTTCTAAATAGATGCATATTTTTTGCTTTTCTTATCCACAGATTTTGTTGTATTGCTAAAACTGAGTTCATCTTTTATGTTTAAAAAAAAGAATACTCGTTTAATTCTGTTCTACCCTAACTATATGCATTTTCTTATTTTTCCTTTATTAACTGCATAAATTGAGGGCAATTTCAAAACTGTTTGCGTGGGGGATGATCAAATTCTACCCCTGAACGAATAACGGACAATCGCGAAATTTTCGTTTTAAAAAATATTTTTACTTCCTATTCCGCCATTTGAAAGCAAACGCTGTTGGTACTTCAACTTAAAACGATGTTGTTTTCCATCAATTTGATAGGATAAAGAAAAAAAGGAAATAACGTATAATTACAAAATAAGAATAATAAGTGTTACAATTGTATTTTATACAATTTGTACACATAGCACTATGCTCCTGGCGAATATATTTATTGGCACAATTTATTTTGCATTTAAATTT